AACTGGTGCTAACCTGACACCGGCCTTGACAGAAGACTTTGCCTTTAGCCTGTGACACACAGAGAAAGGGTGCTCGACTGTAATAAAAATAAACAGTCTTCTTTATCTCAGCGTTTTTTTGTGCACGGTACTACCCCAGTTATCGCCTGGGGCCTTTTTGGTGTCTGTTTTCTGTGAAAGTGCAAGAACATGAGATGCCATGAGAGTAGGTGAAGCTGACTTACTCGGAAACAGGAAAGTGACTGAGAAGTCCCAAGTGAGAATTGATGAGCAGAAAGCACTGAACATATGTTGACTGACGCACTGAACCATTGTCCCACTCCCTGTGGGCCTCCAAAATCCAAGGCTTTCACAACCACAGAGGGCTGAGCTGGAAATACCGTCTGGCATTGTGTATGTTTCCACAGTGACCTCTAAACTTCTATGTGACCATATATGTTGTTACATTTTAGTTTTAGACTGCCTGTGTTGTTAGCATGTCTGTCTTTGGCATGTGCTTATTAAAGCTGTCTTTTGGGGAGAAAAAAAATCTGATTTCTTCTAACATTTTTCTTTATAGAATATTGAATACATGTTTGGCATTGTTGGTATTCCAGTCACTGAAATTGCAATTGCAGCCCAGGCAGCTGGAATAAAATATGTGGGAATGAGAAATGAACAAGCTGTAAGTATATATCTATAGGGGGACCAATCCTTGCCTTAAATGTTTTACAGTGGAATGAAACCCGGTTTATGTTTTCTTACTAGAAAGCATGTGGTCTCTGAATGTTCCTTTAAAGAACCTGTAGAGAAGCAGTCACTCGTTCTGGACTATGGAGAGCACTGGGGCATTGAGTTGAGTGTTTCTTTGTGCCCTTCTTTTCCTGCTTCCATTTTAAAGTGGCCCCTCATTTCCTATTAAGGGAATTGCAGCTTCTTTCATTTTTAAATGCCTTTTTCCAAAAAGGGAGCGAATGTAGGATGAAAATAGGGGGGGAAGGAATTTGAACAGAGCATTTTGAAACAGAAGGAAAAAATTATCAAATGTATCTCCTTCAAGTCATATATCGTCAATTTTTATCTACCACTTTTTGAGATGCTCATCCAGGTGTTTTGTTTTTCTGTGGCTTTCTATAGACTTTCCAATATTCTTATTTCTTAAAATTTTTTCCTGTCATTTTCTTTTAGTGATGTCTTCCCTTCCAAATTAGGACAATATTATCATTCTCTCTCTATTTGGTAGTATTTTAATTTCTTTCTGACCTACCTCTTTACTTTTTTACCTTGTCTGTGTTCTGTTCTTAAGTGCCCAAAGAGGAAAATTTTCCTGCTAATTGATAAACTTGTCCCGAGAGTTTAAATAATTATGATTTTTTCCCTTAACAATTTTTTAAATACTCACCAAGCAGTAAACCATAGAAAGTTATAATGCTTCTGAATGCTCAAAATCAAGCAGGAACATATACTTAGACTCTCTTAGTTATATATATTTCAGCTTCGTTGTGTAGGTGTCAGAAATTAGACTCAAGCTCCTCAGCATTTTCACAGAATCACTGAATCAATTAGGTTGGAAAATATCTCTGAGATCATTGTGTCCAGCCTTTGACCAAACACCACCATGTCAACTAGACCATGGCACTAAGTGCCACATCCAGCCTTTCCTTAAACACCTCCAGGGATGGTGACTCCACCACCTCCCTGGGCAGCCCATTCCACTGTCTGATCACTCCTTCTGTAAAGAACTTCTTCTAATGTCCAAACTAAACCTTTCCTGGTGCAGCTTAAGACTGTGCCCTCTCATCCTGTCATTTGTTGCCTGGGAGAAGAGACAGATTTCCCCCCACCGTGTCCACAACCTCCTTTCAGGTAGTTGTAGGGAGTGATGAGGTCTCCCCTGAGCTTCCTCTTCTCCAGGCTGAATACCCCCAGCTCACTCAGCTGCTCCTCATAGGACTTGTGCTCCAGACCCTTCAAAGGCAGCTTCGTTGCCTTTCTCTGGACCTGCTCCAGCACCTCAATGTCTTTCCTGAATTGAGGGGCCCAGAGCTGGACACAGTGCTTGAGGTGCAACATAACCAGTATACAATACAGGGACAAAATCACTTCCCTGGTCCTGCTGGCCACAGTATTCCTGATACAGGCCAGGATGCCATTGGCCACCTTGGCCACCTCAACACACTGCTGGCTCATGTTCAGCCTGCTGTTAACCAGTACCCCCAGATCCCTTTCTGCCTGGCCACTCTCCAGCCACTCTGTCCCCAACCTGTAGTGCTCCATGGGGTCGTTGTGGCAACCATTTTGATGTTTTGCCACTAGTTCTGGATTTGTTTGTTTTTCCCCAGTAGTAAAAACTTCCTTAGTCATTCAGTAGTTCCTTAGGTGGTCTGAGGTTGAAGATAATAAGCTCAGGTTTATCCCTCATTTTTAAGGGTTGCTGCACAAGCTGTAGCCGCTGGTTGTTGGACTGCTGGCAAATGAACCATCAGTTTTCCTTACTCAGAGTTGCTCTGCAACATTTGTCAGTTTTCCATAATTGATGCCAACCAGTAAATAAATTTCTTGATTATTATCTTACCGTATTTTTCTTATGTTTTAACTTGTTTATGGGTCCTATCTCCTATGAATACTATTAATTAGAATTTTACGACTTTAACACAAGAAAATCCTTCAGATATTCTGGACCTGTATTTTGCAGCAGTGTTCTTTTTTCTGTTTTCTACCATGTAGTTCGTAGCTTTTGTGGATTGTCCCAGTCCTCAATGAAGTATTATAACAGTAGTTCACTTAACAGTGGTCACGAGCTGTATGTTTTTGCTGTCTAATCCATACATTCTTGTATTGGAATGTGGGAATTCAGAGGAATGCATGTCTCTATGGAAAATCTGCAACATATGAGAAAGGCAAATATATACAAACATGTTTAAAAGGTGTATTTGATTCCTTGAAGGACTGGGAATTCAACACAGCCTTTATATTCCTGTAGGCCATTTAGCAAATATTCTAGTTTTAGCTGTGGTTATTAAAACAATTAAAATTAATGTCCTCATATGTCTGTAATTAAACAGAGAAGACTGCTTTGCACTGCCAAATGAGATGCTGTCCTACTTATCACCCTTTTTGTCATTGTGCAAGAATCTAGCAGACAAGAAACATTCTACTGTGTAAAAGATGAAATACTTTTGCTTAGTGGAATGAAAATTACATGAAGACTTGTTTAAGTATCAAAATGTCAGGGTTTGTCTTCTTTTGGGACTGGAAAAGAATGAATAAAAATACATCTTGTAGTGAGTTTTGGTTTGTTTTTTATCCTCATTGAAGACATAGAGTAACTGCTTGACAGAGGAGAGGGTGAAAGGTTATATACAGTATATTCAAGATATGCTCAATATTTACACATCATAGTTTTAAATGTCTAAGTTTATTAGTTGTGTGGTCTGGCTCTGGAGAATGTGTATACAACTGCTTCCTTTATTGGTGAAGGCGGCTGTCTATTATCTGAGATATATGGAAAATTAAGGGTTTTTTCCAAGGATCGAGTTTCTGCCTCATTTCTGGGCCAGAGGTAGCAAAACCATTTCCTTGTAAAAGTGCTAAAATTCTAATTAGTAGTGCTCATAGGACACAGGACCCATAAACAAGTTAAAACACGGGAAAAAAATCTCAAGACAATAATGAAGCACTGTATTTATTGGTTGACATCAGTTGTGGAAAACTGACAAATGTTGTTGACAAAATTATCCTTATGTCCTTATGCTGCCCAGGGAGGTGGTGGAGTCACCATCGCTAGAGGTGTTCAAGAAATGATTGGACCTGGCACTCAGTGCTGTGGTCTAGTTGACCAAGTGGTGACTGGTCATTGGACTCGATCTTGGAGGTCTTTTTCAACCTAAATGATTCTGTGATCCTGTGAAAAGCCCATAAAACTGCAGAACAGAAGACCAGATTAAAGCATGGAGTTAAAAGATAAGTAGTGCTACCAATAGCTGTAAGCCAGTCTCCTGTGGCCTGTAATATGGCACAAGTTTGCCAGGAGCCGTTTGACCTGCATCCAAATGCCCTTTGAACACTGGAAAGTTGTGTTGCAACTCCGCAGCGGCATGTATTTTGTGTATCTGTCCTGGGTAATTAGAGATTGCTGTGATTGTTTAGAAGACTGGTAACCCAGATGAATTTTAAACTTAAAAAAATCCCCTTTACTAGATTGTTACTTGTTAATAATGCACATTGCTTATGTTTAGTTCCTAATCTTTAATAATAATTATCACTACGTATTCAAAGCAATCTCTTCCTGATATTCATAACCTGAGTTAATTGTGAGTTTACGAATATGCTTGAGCTGGTGCAGCTGTCAGGGGAATTGAGAACCCTTCAGGAAGGGCATCTGGAACAAAAGTGGGCATCGTTTAGTCCACCTTACACATTCAAGATCTTTTTTTATAAGATGTGTTGGTCTCTGAACAGATCTAACCCCTTGTCCTCCATGCCTAGACTATGGACTGTATAATGCAGGATGGTACTTTCCCAGGCCCAGACAGATGCCTGATCCTGTTGCACATCTGTTGAAGGCTTTTTGTTCTGTTTTGGTTTTTCCTGTTGCTTAGCCATTGCTGCTCTACCCAAAACAGTGTCTTCCAGAGCTCAAAGTCACACTTTTTCAATGACAAGTTATTGGCCATTAGCAGATCATTTATTATTCTGGGACTTCTGCTTTCAACCTGTGTCCTTATTTGCAAGGCCTGGACTTAAGTTGTATGTGGTAACAGAAGATGCCACGTACCAAGCTCAGGTTCATACAGCAGGTTCTCTCTCATAATAAGTTGATCACAAGCCGTACAGACCAGTCCTGGAACACTGAACATTAGATACAATTAACATGAGGGCCTCAGACCTACTCCTAGGAATGGCAGTACTATTTTACCTGGGCTACTGGGTACAGAAATGCTTAACCATTGTTTACTCACTATGTTGTTTATGTTTGATTTGAAAACAGACTAATTAAACTTTGCTTAGTGTCCTTCTACTTTAATGGGAGGAACAGGCCTCTGCTTTGGCTGCAGTTCAAGCCCAGTGCTCATGGGTGGTTGCAAGCTTTGAGTTGAGTGCTTACATCTAGACTTCCTACATTTCTTCCTAATGTTGATTGTGGTTTTGTGGGCAGTGGTGTTTTATCTGCCTACGTCCTTCTTGCTTGTCTGAGGGACACAAGGATCTGGTTTCAGCTGATCAACTGTCTTGTGACCGTAACAGATAATGAGTGTCATTACTCACATTTTAGTGGTGAAAGTGCAAGATTCATCAGTAAAATGGCTCTTCTTTCTACTATTCACACATAAAAGTCTTTTAAGTATGCCTTCAACATTATTTACAATCTCCTCTAAACACAGATATCTTTAGTCATGTTGCTTCCTTGCAGAATGAAGCAGCAAAAGTTTTAATGGCAATTGTCTGTGAATCCAAATTCTATGTGCTGCTTTATTTTGCCACTCAGTTCTAAAACATGATTGCCGTAGAAACTCAACTCCATGCCTAGAGCTCCATTAACAAAATTTTTTGTAAGACATACTCCAAATATTTCCAAACTTTTGCACAGATATGTCATCACTTGAACATAAGTGACATTTTTCCTCTCTATGTCAGATGTGTATGAAAAGTACAAAGAGATTTTTCTTGTCAGTGTATGTTTTTGCTCAGCGATTCCCTATCCTAATGCTGCAAAGAAAATGAGGGTTTCTTATTGTGTACTAAGCTCCATGCTTTTGGTCAGACAGTTGATCTTTATCTGTAGGATAATGAGGATATTCAAGGCAGTTTCTCCTTCTCTGTAAAATCTTAGAAACTGTGTTTTGACTCATTGAAGCTGAGATGACTAACTGTTACCTAGAATAATTCATATTTTTTAGGAAAATATTTAGTAGCTTTGTAAATTTTTAGAAGGAGCTTTTGTGTTACTTATTCTTATCACAAGAATGCTTGAATATAACTAAAAAACAAATCTCAACTCTATTTAAAAATGAAAGAGGCAGGCTCTAAGGCCAGGAACTTACTTCAAAAAAAAAGTTTACAAAAAATTGCAAAATGGGGTTTTTTCCAGTAAGTGTTTAAACTTGCTCAATTCAAGACAAAGCATGAGAATAGGAAAGAGTTGGCAATGTCATAGGTCCCACTGCTGATAAACTGTGCTAACACATGTTGTGGTTGTTACTTCTGAGAAAATTATTCAAAACACAATTTTTCTTTAAAATGTCAAACTAGCTAAAGCACAGTGTTGTACTGAAGGTGGAATGAGAAGTACTTCAGCAGGTCAGCTCAAAAAGACAATCCCTAATCATCTAATTAATTTCTCCAGTATGTTTGTTCAACCTTTTGCTTAATTTCTGACATACAGTGAGTCATTCCAGCGATGGCTGGATTTCTGCTTGTTGTCTTTCTCTTGCAAATCCCTCTTCCATGTTAGTCCAGAATGCAGTGGAAGGCAGAAGTTTCATGCATTGTTTTTGTGTTTGGTGGGTTTTTTGTTTGATTGGTTTATTCTATCTTGTTGATTTTTTTCCTTTTCAAATCCCAGATATTCCTAATGTAATACTCTGTAACAACAGGAACCTGAAATGTGGAGAGAAGTGTTAAGATTTTTCATATAAATCTTCATGAACACACATTACAATGGGGAGGGAAAAGGGGTACTTTTGCTTACATTTAAGCTCTGCTAATCAGGGAAGAATCTGTACCTCCATATTTCCAGTATTTTTGTTGAAAGTTATGTACAAGGTGTTATGAAATGTATGCATAATAATAATTGTGTCATTAACTCCAATATTTTCAACAGGCCTGTTATGCTGCATCTGCTGTTGGATATTTGACTGGCAGGTACATTCCATATTTATCAATCTTTATAATATAATTTAGTAAATATTAATACTGTAATATTAACTGTGTTAGACTTAACAGAAACTAGAGAGGTTTGTCTGTTTTGGAACTGGAACTTTTTAGTGTGTGCAGATGTAGGGCAGTTAAAACGGAGCATGAATGCTAAAATATCAGTAACAGTTATCAATATTTCTCTTGCAATGACTCAGGGCAAGAGCAAGAAGGTGCTTAAACTCATATAATGTTGACCATCTTATAACTTTCTTAATTTTTTCCCTTTTGATATCTGAATAGTAGCTTAACACCGTTGGTATGAGGGGCAGAAATCACACCACCATTGTTTGCTGCAACTTGGTGGGCCTGCTATACCTCAATCTCATCATCTGGGTGTATTGTTTTAACAAAGATCTTACAAATACAGAGACTGATCATATGCCTTCCGGTCTCCTGTGTGCTTCTCCTGACACAAAGTACTGCATTCTGCTCTTAATGTTGTTGGGAAGCATTCAGTGGCCTGTGACTTGTGCTTCTTGGGTATGGATCCTTTTCTAAACTAAACATCTGGTGTCTGCTCACTCAGAAGTGCAGACCCGATGATGCAGGTGGTCACTCCTTATTCTGTCTGTGTGACACAGTTTTGTATTTTTTCTTCCTTTGAATAATCCTCTGGAAGTAAGCTGATTTTTTTTCCCCCTGATACGTAAGTAGTCTGTAAATCTGCTAAGGAATGCTCACTAGTTAAAAATTATCATTTTTTCTGTCATCACCTGGAATAACAAGTGCCTCTGCCTGAACTAAACTGTAATAAATTTGTGTTGAATCAGATGCACTTCTTCCTGTGTGAGCTTTGTCGCTGATATCTGCTGCTGAAGTGCAGTTGAGAAAACTGCAAACGTAAATGGTTTACCAAATTCCATATAAATGTTAGATGATGGAGTAAATGTGATAGAAGAAGTAAGGAGCTGTGTTAGGATAAACCTGCGTACCTTGCAGACCTCTGTGGGGATGGCACGTAACAAGTGTTCAACCGCTGTTCCAATTGGGTTGATACAGCTAAATGGTTTCTGATTTCTCTGTCTGTCTTTAGTTCTTCATACAAATTCCTTGCCATTCATGACTTGTGATGACATGAGTAAAACTTTAGTATTCCATATTTCAGCATTTTACTAATTTTTGTTGATGATTTATTTGGTGTTCCATGTGCTTACTTTCCTTTCTCTCTCCCTCTTTTTCTTTTCATCTAGACCAGGGGTATGTCTTATAGTGTCCGGTCCAGGATTTTTACATGCCCTTGGTGGGATGGCAAATGCAACCATTAACTGCTGGTAATTTAACTGCATTTTCACTTTAAAATTCCAATAATAGTGTATTGTTATTTGTTGCAGATGTTGAGCTCCACAGTGTTTAGTATTGTACTTCCCCCCTCCCACCCCTTTGTTGTGGGTAGTGAGAAGGGAATTCTTCACTTGTCAACCTTAAAAGTAATTTTGTTTCATTTTTTGTGATCTTATGGATAAAATTCTCATTTTTTTTGTCCTACCCCATTGTGCATATATTAGAAAATCTATCAGCATAGCTGGTTGTATTCATACGTTTGAAAATGAAGTTGATGTTCAGCCTGTAATGCTTTATTGGTTGTGGAGATTGTCTTAAAGGTTCTTTCTAAATTTAAATCCTTATTGCCTTTGAATTACTGTATTTCACATGTAAACAAATTGACAACTGCATTGTTAATATTCCTATGTGCTTCCCACGCAGACATTTAGAACAATAATTAAGTATTGAATTAAAGGACGTACAGCGTGATAGTATTTACTGCTATAAGCCTTCACTGAGACGTGACAAGAGCTGGTCTGTCACAGAAGAGTGTTCAAAAAGCTGTACTGAGGTATTTGGAGTAGAAGCTGTAGTAGTACCTAGCATGTGTGCTCACAGAACAGAGTGTGATCCAGAACAATGTGATCTGGAACAATGGGATCTGGAACGTTAAATTAGCAGGGGGTGATGGACGAGGTAATGGGAACACTAACAGATTGAGTCTCTGACATTTTGGGAAAAAAAAAACCACTGGTATTCAAATTCTTTTTTAAAAAAACGAGTTTTTGAGCAAAGTTTTGCTGTCACTATGTGTCCTTGGATTAAAAGAAGAAAGATCGTGCGCAAATCTTGCTTTTGAACAGTTGTGAATTCGGTTATACAAAGGAATTGTTCATCACATTTACTTCTGGATTTGCAGCAGATATTTCTATTTTCTCACAAACTTTTTTTTGTCTGAGACAAGGTCTGTTTACATGACTTGATCTTTCATAAACCTGTACTCCTGGCAAAAGGTGGAGGGAATGACTTACCCAGTTGGACAGAAAATTGGCAATATAGTAAGAAAATCAGTTTTCCCTGACCAAACCACAGTGTTTGCTGAATGATTTTTTCATTGGTCACATTAGACTTGCCTTTTGCCTACCACATGCCAAAAGGAGAGAAGTAAACATTCACAAACGCTGAATTTAGCCTAATGGAATTAATTTTCCTTGGCCCCTTTGTTAGTAGGCAATTCTATTGCATTCCCAGAAATGCTTCCCATTTACAGTTGGCTGGCATTGCCATTGTAAGAAAGGGTGCTGTGCATTGGAGAGAAGGACTAGGGATATAATAATATATAATAATATAATCTCCACACCTTTCTCCTGTGCATGTACTCCTGCTGCTTGCACTCTTGATACTCTGGTGCTTGTCTGCTCCAACAGTCAGTTTCAGTTCATTATTCTGCCAAAAAGCTAACCCAGCAAAAATAAGTAAATAATGTCATGTTAGAGAAGTGGTCTAAATAGCTCCCTCTGCAGCCAGGCAAGCATCAAGCCCCTAAGTGAGGGAAAGAGTGGATTATGCAGCTGGGAGCAGAAATTAGAGAGATCATCTGCTCTTTGTGGCAACAAGGTGTTAAGTCTCCTGCTCTGTACCATCCCCTGTGAGGAAGTGGCACGATGAGACCAATTTGTAGGCAAGGTTAGCCCTCATAGGTATCTCCTATGTGTAATGTGATTCCAACACCTGGCATTGTTAATGCACTACAATGGCTCAGCTTTTTTTACTTCATGTTGCACAGAAGTAATCGGAATGTTGAACCTGACTCTGCTGGTAGTGACTTTAAATAACTCAGACTAAGGGATAGTGGTTAAAGCCCTGTCTGAGTTGTCCTCCTTGAGCCTGGAGATCCATTCTTCTGATTCCTCTCTGTTTCAGTCTCTTCCTGGTTTTACTTTGGTAAGCTCTTTACCTGAAGTTGCAGTTGAAATTTTTTTTAGTTTAGTGAAATTCTCCTGCAAGTCTGTAAGATTTATTATTCTTATTAGTTTCATTAAAATCAATGCTCTTCCTGCCTCACTGTTGTTTTAAGCTTCACTGTTGCTTTATAAGCACTGCTCTTCAGAATGTCTATAGTGTTGTGACAGTAGTACGATGATTTCTGTGGGGGGAAAACTTCTTTCTAGTTACAGTTATGTAAAACTTTAAGAGCAGAACTAAATCTTTTCAAGGTATAGCTGTTGGAGTTCGCTTTCTAAAAAGTTGAGTAGTTTCATAATTATATTTCATTATAGAGAAGTAGTAGTTACTTTGACAGTGACAACCTCCATGTTCCTCTCACTTATAATTTCAAAATTTATTTAAATGTTTCAATGAACAAACAAATTCGTTACAGATGGATAGCTGTAATCACTTTGCTGATGGCAGGGAATAAGCAGAATAAAATGTGTAAAGCATACACCAAGTGTATTTTTCCATAAGAATTTTTCACAAAGGTAAGATACAGCCTGAAGTTCTCATTTCACCACCTCAGGGGATTAGAACTGAGATTTTTGATTTATGGTGGAGAAATGAGCTGGTTATGAAGCTTGGGTCTAGATACACATATACCCAAATCTTAAAGGGGATTAAATTTATGATTATGCATGGAGCACACTGTAAATGTTTCAGCTTGATACATTATATAGATAAATGCAGTCAAAGGAAAGGCTGTATCTGAAGAGATACTGTTCAGCAGAAAAAGCCTAGAAAGCTATTGACCCAATATTTCAATTTAGTGTGAAGGCATAAGCAGATTAATAAGACATGTTTTTTTCCATTGACTCAGCATTTAGCATTTTAAGAAGTTTGACCTACAAATGGAATAAAAGACCAGTTTTTATTCCCTGTGGGAAAATAATTTATTGTATTTTGTGGAAATTATAATAAAAATTACTCATGTGTAATTTGTAACCCATATTGTAAGCTAATACTGTCTTCCACATATAGCCATGATCTAATTTAAGAGCAGGACTGCTTTTAAGTGTGTTAAATTTTTGTTAATTTCTTTGGGCTTTGGGGTTTTTTTACTAAAGACAAAATGCAGGGAGAAGTGCTCTCAGACAGTCAGCTAACTTCTGCTGTGTTCCAAATTGTATACAAAGAAAACCTAATCCTTATGAAAAATTGGATCCTAGCGTGCTTCTTAGTTCTAGTGCTTGTGCATGTTAAAGTACCTCTTATATACAAAATGTTTTGGACCAATCAATACGTTTTAGCTTTTTAGATTAGATGTCATTCCACTCAAACCACCTTGTCACTCATGTTATCAAACTTAAATGAAAATTGCCTGCAATATTACTTAGGTTTAGAAATTTTATGATAGATGCAAGTCACTAAATATAGCCAGATTGTCCTAAAGCTAGTGACCCAAAAGCTGCTAGGAAGTCTACTGTCTGACACACCAGTATTTAGAATCCACTCCTGCACTGTGCTGGTCATTGTCTGTTCTTATAGAGATCTGTGGATGCTGAAGGTGGGCACAGCATCCTAAGAGCAGTAGGATTTGACTGTAAGGAGAACTTAGAGATGTGATCTTAGCTATAAAAAATGTATGCACGCTTAAGGTTCTTTGTTTTGGTTTGGTTTTAAATATACTTTTCTAGGCCTTTGATCGTTATCGGAGGTTCTTCTGACAGAAACCAGGAAACCATGGGAGCTTTCCAAGAATTCCCACAGGTACACAGACATACAACAGAAAGGTTTCAGTTAAATAATTGATGTTGTTTCTTCATTATTGTAGGAATAACAATCTCAAACACCAACATTTCCTAACAGATCCTAAAATGCTGTTGATTTGCTCCATCTACTGGTTTAAAGTTGACAGTGCATGAATACCGCAGATTGCCTGGAATGTCTTTGTACATACTCATGTAATTTGCCGTTGTCTGTTCTGAAATGGACAAAAGCAAAATAAACTTTCCAAAAAAAGAAACACCACTTTCTAGAGAAAAAAAAAACCAACAAACAAACAACTTAATCACTCAGAGGAATGAGTATGGTTTTGACAGTTTCCACCAGCGAGCTACTGCATTTTTCTGTGGGGAAGTTTTCACCTTGTTGTTTTTCATTTGGCATTTCTTTCATTTCATTCATGTTGAAATCGGATGGAAATGAGCAAATCACTTTGATAAATCGATATAATAGTTGTTTGCATTTATTCAGGTTGAAGCTGGTAGGCTGTACAACAAACTATCTGTCCGCCCAAGCAGCCTGGAAGTTATTCCTGCTGTCATTGAAAAGGTATGAAAAAATACAAACTTGGCAACTGAACATCAGGTAACTGTCTCCTTCTGTTTAAGTTTTGAGAGTTTATTTTTGTGTAGTTGTTACTCTAACCAGTTTTATCCTGCAGATATGAGGTGATGGTTGATTGAGTAAATTAACAACCAGGGAGATTTTTCTTAGGAACAATGCTATGGAATAGGTTAGAAATAGATTCTGATCCAATCTGATGCTTACTGATCCCTGCAGTGTTTTTTCTTAGCTTCAGGCAGGAAAATTTTTATGAAATAAAAATTTAGGGAGAGGTGCAGTAACTAGAAATGTAGTACTATAAACTTCAGCTGTTATACCACTCTCATGTGAAGGAGATTTGGAAGGGGAGGCAGTGGAGATGGTTGTGTTTGGATTTTGAGTTTGGTTGTTGCTTTGTTGGGGTTTTTTTGAGACTGACAGAAAACACATCCTTATCTCAATGCTTCAGAGAGGATTAGCAAAGTCTCTTGGTACTGCTGCAGCAGCAGCGCTTCAGCCATGTCAGCCTAAATTCTGCATACAATGATACTGTTTCCAGAAGTGCAAATTCAGCAGAGCATCTACCTGCAATAGGAGAACTGGAATCAAAAGTAATAGAAAACTGAGGCATTGGTTATCTTGGTTTTACTCTATTTGTGCTGCTTTAAATAGAATTCAACATGAATGTTTAATTTTGTATCTCCAAACATAACAGCTAATAATGCAGTTATCTCATTTTAAATTAAACAAAGAATTTAGGCTCTAAATTGTACATCTAAAATGTACATCTGCTGAAAGGCTCCAGCAGGTATATAAGGGAAAATGTAAATAGCTATCAAAACTTTAATTTTTTGGTATAAATCACTCCATGGAAGCCTTATTCATCAGCAATATGAGACTGTGTACCTTCTCTACCTACAAAAGGGTTTTCTGGCCTTCCTAAACTATTTTTAAAATCCTGTCAAACAGTGATTAAAACTGGGATTATCTGTTTCCTAGGCTGTAAGAACCAGCATATATGGTCGTCCAGGTTCCTGCTATATTGACATACCTGGGGACTTTGTGAATCTTCAGGTGAATAAGAGCTCTGTCAAGTGCGTAAAGATTACATTCATTTTTCAAGTCACTGAATAAAAGAAAATAAGAGTTATAAATTACTTTCGTATTTTGTTTTCCTAAAGAAAGAAAATGCAGCCTCTAAATGTAATGCTCCATTGTAAATGTGATGCAGATTACAGTTTGTAAAGAAATGTGCAAAACCAGAATGAATTAATATGGTAATATAATCATGTCAGTCTGTAAATCTCTGGAACAACACTACCTATAAGATTAAAGAAACGAGGAAGAAAAACCTCAAAGCGTATTTAAAAAAAAAATTCTATTCTAATAAATGCTGTAACATGGTGTGTAGCAACTGCAATTTTATGCTAAGCAATAGGTTTTATCTTTCAACATTTCTTGTTTTGAATTTTTAAAGAGCCTCTTTTGTTTTGCTTTTCTTCAGGTATGTGGAATGCTGCTTGCCACCTCCCATCAGCATGGCTGAACACTCTGCTGTATCCAAAGCAGCCTCTATCCTTGCTCTTTCCAAGCAGCCTCTGCTAATCATTGGCAAAGGTAGCATGCTTTGATGTAACTTTGAGCTGTACAAATCCGAGACAAGAACAGTGACCAAGTGATTGCTTTTCCTCAGAAGTGTTACTCACCGTCTTTTCACCTCTAGTAAAACAAACAAGCAAACAAAGCAGCCAGTAGAAAAACCACAAACTTCTTTGGAATTTGATGTTAAAATCTACTCTGGTTTTAGAATATTTTTGTTCTGTTTTATAGCTGTTGTCTCTTTCATCTAGTTTAAGAGAAAAGTCAATCGATAAAATAGAAGTTTATGTAGAAAAAAATTGGATAACAATTGTCTTTAAATCTAAATACCAAGGGATTGCTTCCAAAATTCAAAACAAATTCTCTTAGAATACAGGAATTATATTCTCTGCCTGATGCTCTGGTATATATAGCAAAAATAAGAATAACCAAAGGTCATTTTTCCATTTGGTCTTACTGAAAGTGCCACCCTACCTGTGTGAGGATATAAGCAACACAGCAGGTGTTGCAGTTATTGCTGTTTTACAGACTTTCCATTCTACTTTGCCAGTGTAATTAATTCCTAAAGTAGAGGTGCCCCTGGCAATAGAGGATAATTATTCTCTGTGCTGGTTCGCTTGTTTTGTCCCTCCTTGTGGAATGTTAGCCAGTGCAGTGGTGCTGAAGATACAGGTCAGCTTGGAACAGAAGTCAAATAACCAACTTGTTTAACCCAGGGTATTTTACTGCAGATGTGGGAATGCTCTGTGTCTGTGTTTAATTAGGGAGTGTAATGATTGAAATGAGATGGATCTTATAATTGATTAGGTAATGAAATTGAAAACAGAATCAGGAGATCAGGAGAGGTTATGGGGTTTTTTTTCTGTGTCTGCCTTGGTAGACATGAAGAAGAGGGTGTTCTTTGAAAGTGAAAGGTGGAAATCAGTCCCTCAGAAATACATAGATCTGTGTTTTGTTGCCATCAACAACTGAGAATCTACTCAATAATACAGCAGCCATGTACTGAAGGTAGCATCACACTGAATGTGTGCACGAACACAAACCTTTTTCAAGGCCTTCTTTTGGCTTCTCTCTTTTCATTAGAGGCTTGTAGTAGGCCTCTTTGGGCAGATTTCTGTGGAGCATAGTGCAGTCCACACAATGGAGCATGCAGGGGGCAAGCAAGAAATGACATGACAACACAAAGGCCATTGCATGTTGCTGCTGCAGAAGCCTCTGCCCCATAATACCAAACTTTACCCACTAAACATTGTCATTCTACATAAACAAAATCTCCTAACAGAGAAATAAGTAAATAGTTCAGCTGAAGTCTTAAAAAAAAAAACAAAAACAAATAAAAACCCTTTTGACAAAAATATGTGACATTTTAAACCTATGTGACATTTCAAATCTATGGGTTTGAATGTTAGGTTTTGAGTTCTTCAGAATGAAAAATGACAGGCAGCTTTCATAATGGGAAACAGTACTCTTTCTGCCAATAATGTAATCAGGTTAATTGAAGTTCAAGAGAATGCAGTTGGTTTCTGTAGTATTAAGCAGTCTCTTTCGTTTCATTCAGGTGCTGCTTATTCACATGCTGAAAACAACATCAGAAAGTTGGTGGACCTTTGTGGACTGCCTTTTTTGCCTACGCCAATGGCAAAAGGAGTAGTTCCTGATAACCATCCAAATTGTGTAGCTGCAGCAAGATCCATGTAAATATAAAGCAAGGCTTCTCATCCTAACATCTGAGAAACAGCTAGGAATTTTGGTGGTCTACAGATGCCAGGGAAGACAAAATGCATACAGCAAAAAATTTTTCAACCACGTTTTACACCTCATTGTAGAGCACTGAAGATCCTACTTGGAAAGGGACAACATGTTAGGTGGATCACTTTAGAATGCTGACCAGGAAGATACTTTATATTAAAGCTAATGTTCTGTAACTCTGAAAGCTATGGCAAGTAGATAGATGAATGTAGCTAGTATGTGTTTTCTAACATAAAATGGAACTGGCAAACAGTTTATTTTAAACAGCCACTATACAAACTACTGGCTCTTTATTTTAACACTGTAAACAGAAGCTTGAGATGCACACGTTGCTGTTGAAGTTCGGCCATCTGCTGTCTCTGTGTGGTATTTGCAATACACTATCAGTAAATTGCACTTTATTTGTACAGAAAAGTAAGGTATTTCAAACTACACTGAACGACTATGTTTAAAGTCATTTGTAAGAGCTTTTTTTGGCTTTTGGCAAAATTAATGTGAATGGACTGTGAGAACCCTACTATGTATGAGTATGCACAGAATCAGCTTGCAGATGGAGCATTTATATACTCTGAGACTAAAATATTGTCCATTGCTGAGCATCTTAGCTTTATCACTGTTAAGTGTGCTGTTAAAAAAAATGGAGAATAAAAAAGTATAGGAAATGCTGTCTACCCATCTGAAAGTTAAATTAACTGGTGACTAAACTGAGAGGTCCACAAATCTTAATTTTGGTACCCACTGTTGCCAGTGTCACAGTAGTGAGTGTTTTGCTTTAACCTCAGCATCTTGTTAGTCTCCTAATGCAGTGATTCCTTTCCTAAACACAGCATATTAGGAAAATAGTAATCAATTTTCTTCTTAAGTTCCTAAACTCAAGAATGGTGTGGTGATTGGCTGGGTAAAAGTATACAGGGTTTTGGAGCTAAGCAAGCATCTTAGAGGTTGGAAGGATTTTATGTATATCCTGGGTTTGCTGTGGTGATTAGGATTGCTTCTAACTGTGCAAAGACTATTGAATGTAATAATAATTCCTTGTTTTCTAATCCTTTCATTTCCCTTTATTAGGGCATTACAACATGCTGATGTAATCATCTTGTTTGGTGCAAGATTGAATTGGATTTTGCATTTTGGTCTTCCACCAAGGTTTCGACAGGATGTAAAGGTTATTCAGGTAAGCAGGAAAATTATTTTCACTTAAAGCAAGTCTGAACATTGCCTAGCATTGCCTAGAACAATTATTGTAAATTATTTTGGTAGTGTATTTCATGTGGCAAATACTGCCCTACGGACAGTGCATATAGTTAATGATAACTCTCCAGAAATACTTATGATTTCTTTAATAATTCTTACTTTTTTCTAAGAATGGTTACAGCATTGTTCCTGCTGTCAAGAGCTTGGTGCTGCTGTAATGAGGAGGGGAGACACTTCTATGTAGTTGACTAATGCAGGATTAGAGTCGTGATACTTTCGTGGTCTTTGGAGCATTGGAATTTCCATGATTGAAAGCGAACTGTCTTTGAAATTGTGAAATCTCTCATACTGTTTGATGCTCTCTTATCTGAATTTTTTTGAAATAGAATTGCTTTCAGATCCCAAGTCAGTCATAGTATAAGAGGTCAGTAACTCTGAAATGTTAATAAGAAAAGAGGCAGAAAGGCTATTTAACTAATTAATATATTTGACAATCTGCCAGCTCTTAGAAAAACAAGTCTTTAAATTGTTTATGTCCTTAAAATCTCCCTAAGAGTCTGTGATGAAATTGGAGTAGTTGATTCAGTATGCTGGCTGGCCTGCTTACACTGATCTGGAACATGATCTCAAGTTCCAAACTTTGCATCTTTTCTAGAGCAATAGCATAAATTTTTAAGCTAAATTTTTACAAATATACATCTTGTTTTGACAAGTATTAGTTTTACAAATTTTTCTAAAGGCTGTAAAGAAAATCTTTTTTTCACTGTCGAAGATTAGTATTAAAGTACTGTCAGTTCATAGTCTGTGTGACCTGGTCATAAGTTAACTGTCCATGTAACCTCAGAGGTTTCATGCATCACCAATAAAGCAAGTGGAGAAGTTGCTTCGGTAGTTGCGACTTACTTTTCAGTTTCTTCATGCTAGCTAAATTTTTACTGTCAAGTAGCATTCACACAATTTTCTCAGAAAGAAAATTACTGCTTTGTTTAGACTTTAAGGGTATACCTAAGCCTAGATTTTTAGTTCTCATATAATTATCATTAAAATCACCACCTTCTTCTTCTTAATGTTCTAATAAAGTTCTGTAGTGTCTGCAAGAGCTTGAAAGATGCAAGCAGTCAATTTTAAGGATAAATATGAACTTTTATTAAAATGGGTATGTACCATAGGGTTTTACTTTGAATAAAGGATTTCCTGATGTAATTTAAAGGAAAGGCAGCCAAAACAAGGTATAAGGACATTAGACATGTATGTATGTTAGACAGTGTTCCTTACTTGAGCTGAAAAAAACAAAATCTCTTTAATGTCCTCGAGTTAATGGTGGTCTTTCTTTTTGAAATATAGATTGATATTTGTGCAGAAGAGCTGGGGAATAATGTAAAGCCAGCTGCAATTTTATTAGGTGACATAAACGCCGTGACTAAGCAGGTAACGTAATGTTCCATGTCCTCCTGTTTTGACTTTAATTTCCTCTGATCCATATAAAGTAAGTTGCCAGTTAAAAGCAAAAGAAAAAAAAACCCAGCTGATTAAGGAAAACCATTTTTAGGCAGTATACTCATGCTGTGATTCCAGTCTATTCTCAAATAATACGCTAAAGATTCTGATTAGTGCTCCAGTGATTGTGCTGGGATCTTTCTTGGTAACGTTATTCTTGATGCTTGTGTTGTTTTTTAAATATGTTGAAAGACATCTTTGCAATATTTCAATATTGTTCCAGCTCTTAGAAGAATTCAGCAAAAGATCATTCAAATATCCTTCTAATTCAGAGTGGTGGAAGAGGCTAAGAGTGAAAATAAAGAACAACGAGGAAAGATCAAAGGTAGTATTAAAGAGAAGATTTCCCACTTTAACAGGTACCGATACATTGTCAGTTTTGTCCCTGGTCTATATCCAACCTCCTCAATTACTTCTCAGTCATGTCACGCAGACTTTGAAAATTTATATCATTCTGGTACAGGCTTACTCTTCTCAGGCTTATGAACTGTAAGTTAAATATTATGGGTTAAATATTCTGTTATTTTGTATAAATTCAAACTGTGCGGAAGTCATGGAACTTTGGGATTGGGCTCTTAAAGCCAGTAGTAGAAGACCACAGCGAGAGCTGCTGCATTATGAGCAGTGACTTCTAAGCAGTGGACAGATACTACAGGTACATCCAAGTACTCCAAGTGGGAGCTAGTTTATGTGAAGGTGCATCTTAGACATCTTCTGTAATTGTGCAGTTTAGCGATGCTGGTCTAAGTCTAATCTATGCTAAAAACAAGTAGCTATTAAGACCAAGAGACCACAGGTGTTTGGGATATGCCTAGTTTTATGCAACTCGTATTCTGCAACTTCAGATGCATGTTTCCAAGATTGGGATCTAAAATTCGTTCTAGCAGATCACTCTTTTAAACTACCTCCCAGCACGCAGATGACAGCTCGCTTAGGGTTGTCAGTAGTCAAACCTGTGTGCAGAGAAATGTCACATGCCTCTCAGGTTAAACTGAGCTGTAATAGCTTCTGTTAATGATAAACCATGGAAGGGTTGCTAAGCTGGTTGAGCCTCTGATAAATATGTTGCGTCACTAGGATAGATACAGAAGGAGCGACCTTGATGTAGTGCATGGAAAACCAAATATTTCATCCTTAACTAGCAGAGTGCATTCTTATTTCCGTTGTTATTATTTGCATGTCTCAGTTCTGCACCTTGTTATAAATTCTATCCATAAGAGTTACTAATATGTCTTATTTTTAAGGGATTAGCATTACAGAAATCCCTGCCTATGAATTATTATACAGTCTTTCATCACATCAGAGAAATGATACCCAAGGACTGCATTTTAGTAAGTGAGGGAGCAAATACCATGGACATTGGACGGACTATGCTTCCAAATTACTATCCTCGTCAAAGGTGTGCTATCTTTTGTGTTGTGCTGACTCAACAGGCTAGATCTATGTATAAATATTTTCGTTTAGCTGAGAAGTATGATGGTTCAGAATTTTTGTAATTCTTTTTAAAGGTTCTAAATAAAAAAAATCGAAGTTTAGCATGTTGGGAAAGGGGTTAAGGAAAGTTTTCCACCTATATACTGATGTTCTGTCATAGATTTTAACATTTCTCTGCATGCTCTGCAACAGAATGGTGTTGGTTGCTCACTCTTTTGTGGAAAGTGAGTGAGTAGCATCATGTTGTATTCCCTGACCTAGATTTTTATTTCTGTGCTCAGTCTGTGGTAAATTTTGATTAAAAATAAAAACAATCATTGGAATTCTCATGTTGGAAAGAATTCATATGAAGAGTTTTTCTTTGAAACACTTCAAAATAGGGAAAACTTGAAAATTGGATTATATATTGGACATGCTTTCATGTAAACCTCCATGCCTAAAATGTAGGTACTCATATTTGGATGTGTCACTTTAATCATTGTGTGTAGCCTCTTTTAACACAAGTAGGAACTAAGTGCTGTTTTTCGAACGGGGGAAAAAGTGAATTTTATCTGGTGATGTGAAATTTCTCATCTGTGAAGCTTATACCTGCTTGCAAAAGTAGCACTAAACTCCTAAATAAACCTAAATACTTCGTAAACCAAAATGCTTTGCTAACAAAAGACAACCAACAGCCAAAGAAAAGCCACCCAGTAGAGTTGGGGGAATAGTTTGCATCTTTTTCCCCTTCATTTAAAGTAAGGACACAGTAATGTTAATGGTTGTCTCTTCAGATTACATTGCACATATCTGAAAGCAAATTTGAAAAGTTAACCCTAGAATAATCTAGTTCTTTATGTACTTTTGTATCCATTATGTGCTTCTGACTGAAATGATCTAACTTAATTATAGCTTTCAATTTGATTTCAAATTGGTTGAACAGAAGACTAAAATTTGAACAGCAGTATTTATTCAATGGCTTTCAGATGTCTTGTAGGTATATTTTCAAGGAATTAAATATAGAAATATGTTGTCTGTCTGTCTCTACAGTAATTGAATGTTTTTGAAATATTGTTACTATGCAAGCTAAAAGCATATGAGGATAGGTCTTTATTGTAGTACAACTAGTGTACAAGAGTTCTTAATTTTAATTAGAGTTCCATTGTATTTATATCACTTTAAACATTTGCTGTCTTATCAAATGATTGGTTGAATATAATAATCTGTACATCTGGTATCTGCATATACCAATTATTTATGAAACAATATTTGAATAGCGTATGGCAAAGTATTAAAAGTAAAGGTAATTCACCATGGATTAATTGAAGAGACTGAGTAGAAATAAATGGATAGTAATTCTGTATTCTCCCCTTTAGGCTTGATGCAGGTACTTTTGGAACTATGGGAGTGGGGCTGGGTTTTGCTATAGCAGCTGCAATGGTAGCCAAAGACCGAGCACCTGGAAAACAAGTCGTCTGCATAGAAGGAGATAGTGCTTTTGGATTTTCTGGGATGGAGGTGGAGACTATTTGCAGGTAACTGGTTTTTTTGCTCAAGAAGAAACTCTTCATGTATTGCCAGGATCACTTCAACTCAAAGCCAAGGATGATGCTTTTAGATGGGGTGCCCATAAAGCACATGAAAACAAGCCAAAAAATACAAATGGTCGTTTTTTATGTTGTTATGACATAGTGCTCTACCAGTGATGATTAGATCATTTTTCAGGTGAAAGTGGTTGTTTTTTTTAATTTAAAGAAAATTAACACTTCCAACATCTTACAGAAAGGGGCAAGTATTTCAGAATTCTTCCAAATATGTCGTTTTGTAGGTACAGTTTGCCAATCCTGATTATCATAGTAAACAACAATGGGATTTACACTGGTTTGGATGCAAATTCCTGGAAGGAGATGTTAAAGTTGGGCAATCCTGCTACATGGTAAGCATCTTCAAAGTATGTCCTGTTAATTACGAAAGAAGTGACCAAAATGGTCATTCTCTTCATTGCTAATGCTTTGTAATCCAGATTGAAATTACTTTTAGAAAGTGAATTTAGTCCTGGGCTAAGTTCATATAAGTAAGAACCAGTTACCAAAAGCAAGCAGCCAGCCGAATTCCGGACTGTTATTTGCACAACAGTGCAGCAGAGAGATGATTCTCTATTAGTTGTCTCAGGTTCCTGCAGCAGTTCAGGCCACACAATAGAGAGTTTGTAGTGGGCTAACATTCAAAATCACGATAATCTCCAAAATTACCTGAGTTCTAAGTGTACACTGAACTTCTGCTTCTGGAGCTGAGATCTCTGTACAAAGAGAACTTGGTTAAAGCTTTGGAATGTCTCCAGAAGGTGAAAATGAGCACGGTACCCTATGAACATGGCTTAAGTGATATGGGAACCATAGTTCTTCCAGCCCAGAAGAATTCAACAGGCCAACACAAACATCTTGCACTTTAAAATTGGTGCTGAAGTAATTAAATTGGTCTGTTGGCAGTCCCTGCCATTAATCAGGTTTTCCATTTTGTTACAGTGTACCTCCTGTTTCCCTCCTGCCAAATTCACACTATGAAGAAATTATGTCTGCCTTTGGAGGTAAAGGATACTTTGTTAAAACACCAGAAGAACTGCGGAATGCTCTGAAAGCAAGCGTGACTGACAAGCAAACACCTTCTCTTATAAATGTGATGATTGATCCGCAATCCGACAGAAAGAAACAGGTATCTGTATGTTTTCTTTGCTTTTTTTGCAAGCTTCGTGTTGATGAGTTTCTGAAAACTTTGGGAAGTATCACTTAAACCACAGAGAAGGCAGAGATAGTTGCAAGGCAGAAATATTGTGTTTAGGTTTGGGAGAAGGGAGAATGGGTCCTTTTACACTGTGCCATCTGCTTTCCTTGTTACTTGCTTGTTTGGGGTTTTTTCCCCCACTGGCTGTTTTTAGTGCATGGTGTTCTTCATGACTGTTTCCAGAATTTAAGGTTATTTCTTTTCATTCTTGACAAAATGAGAGGAAACATTTTTGAGCAATCCTTATATCCTGTGCTTTCCATCTGGTAGTTAACTGTTCCTCTTACTCCTTGTCCGCTATGGTTTTTATTCTGTGTTGGTTTGTTTTTTTCTTCCAGGAATTTCCCTGGCTGACTCGTTCTAACCTGTAGTAGAAGAGAAAGATGATGATGGTGCAAGGCAATACATTAAACTAAACTGAACTGGTTTCTGGAAGTGGAACTGGTACAACTGTATTTTACATGGGCATTGGAACGAAGTGGGATTTAGAACTGCTATTAGAGGAATCTTTAAATGCTAAAATGAGCTAATTGTATAATGAGAAAGACACATATGAATGTATAACAGGCCTTCTGGCATATTGTACAGAAACACTGATAATAAAATTACATAGTTTTTCTTTTACTCAGTAATACCCATCATTTTTGAATTAAAATCTTGGATGTTCTGAATGAACAGAATAAGCTGAGGGTTTTATGCTGACTGAAACATGGAAGTCTTTGACAGTTTGCAGCTATAGTAGCTTCATTTTTAACCAACCACCAACATGATACTTGTTAGAGACTTTGTCCTCTAAGGACCAAAACAAAGCATCTTCTTATGCAAAAGTCTTGCTTGCTCTCATTATGTGTCGAAACTCATTGCACTGATATTAGCTTCCTAATTTTACAGATGCTTTTTCAGCTTCTATTAAATGTAGAAGTAGTGTATTAAAAATCCAGACTTACTCAAGGGCTAAACTTCTGTCTACTGAATTTGGTTTTGTTAACTGAGACTTACGGTGCTTGTTGGAAAATAACATCTTAGATTTTTGTTTGAAGCTTTGCTCTTCACACAGACACCATCATCCCTGTAGGTTGAAAAGCTGGCTGTGAGATTAGTGAGATTTTCAGGATTAATAGATTATAAATCTTTATAACTAGAAGTATTTAAACAAAAAACATTACCACCACCCTCAAAACAACAACAACAAAAAACCACCAAAAATGTCCCAAACCAAACCAAAATTTAAAAAAAATCCCTCACCAGAGCAGCAACACCAGAAAAGAATTAGACTGAAGCATAATGTTTGTTTTTACTGGCATCACAAAGCAACCACCAGTGTTCATGCTACAGCTGGCTAATTATGCAATAAAGGTTCTTCATATAATTTTCTCACTGTATAAAAATCCAATGTCCATCTTACACTGACTGTGATGCAGAGGCATCGCAGCGTAATTTACTGAGACATTAATTTAAAGCAGATAATTGGCCTACCTATGGTTCTATCTACTGTGTTTTCATCTGTTGTTGCATCTGACAATCAGACTCAGAGCTCAGACTTTAAAAGTGAAGTAATTCTTTCTCTATGCCTCTGTCATGGTCTACACCAACTGCTATTCAGGAGTACTAAGCACTTATATTTACACTGTTCTTAAATGCACTGGGAGACTCTTCGTTGTTACATTTGCAAAAGGGAAAATTCTGTCTCGAATTGGGTTTTGATTGCCTTGTTTTCTGTTATTCCATTGACAATAAGTGTTAGTTAACTAGTGGAAGGCACTTGGATGACCAAGGAAGAAGAGGGCTGTGCTGGAAGGGGATCATGGCCTCCATGTAAGTTTGTTGCAAGGGCTTCACTTGTTGGTTTTTGCACTTCGGTCTGGGACTGCCACGAGGCCATGGGTTACTGTTAGGCAGGAACGTCTCTGCACACTAACACAGGAAGCTAATATCTGACATGAGCAAGAGTACCACGGTCTGACCAGAGGCACCACTGCCTGTTACGTGTGTGGGAATTGGGAACAGCCACGTGGCACTATGAATGCTTGAGTCAAGAAAGGTAATGTCCTTAGGAAGGGTAAAAAAGTGCAAAGGGATAAAACCCTAGAGTGGATATAACTCACAAATGGATATAACTCTGCTGAGATGCAGAGTTGCTGTGTTCTCTAGAGTACTCTGCAAGGAATGTGGAACGATGTTGGATCTTGTCATTGATTTTTTTTAATTCTTTGTTTTGTCTCTCATGGATTTTGATATGTTGCAGTGATTAAACACAATCTATTATGATGGTGTAAAGAGTCTGTAAGAATTAATGCTGGAACTGATCACAGGAGAGATAATTTGCGTTGGATAAGCAAATGAATAAATTCTTGTTTTATACTTGAAAATGAATAAAAAGCGTCGACATACACTCAGGCAGTCATCCAAGCTAGAGCTTCACAGTGTATGAATACAAGTCCCTCTTTAATAAAATCATCATATTAAAAATATATATTAAAAAAAAAATTACGTTTGCTCAAGTGTTTGAAAACCTTGTTTTCTGTCTCCTTTGCACGATCATTAAGATCATATGCATGTATGGCATTTTATAAGCCTTGGTGGTGGGAGGTGCTGATACCAGTACTGGTGGACCTGTAGGCACACCTCAGGTTCCAGCCAAAGCAATGCATTCTTCTTAGAGCAAGGAGACATGGCAGCTGGGATTTAGGTATGAAAGCCTCCTTAGCCAGGCCATGAACTTTGTGCCTGCTCTGCAAAAACAGGGATATCATTCAGGTGCTCAGAAAATAAGTAAAAATTATGTTAGGTAAAAGTAATATTTCAGCCCTACCAGAGATTTAAAGTTACCATACCTAAGCAGCTAATGCTGGGCCTCATTCTATTTAGTTGAAATCAGTGAGATCTTATTACTGGTTTTAGTGTAAAATCTATTTTTTCTCAAAGTTTTCATCCCTGTGTGCCAAATCATGCCAAATTGCTGTTTGATAAGGATGTCTTAAATACAAATGATTGAAACTTCAAAAGTAGGACTTTATAATGGAAATGCTAATGCAGCCTTAATTACAGTTCCCTGATTCTGCAAAGGGTGCTGGGAAAATGCACTTGTCTGGTTTGATTAGGTTCAATTATCCTGTGTTTGGAAGATGACAACCCTGACATCCCAGGATGACTGGGCAATGTGCAGTGCCCAGCCATTTTCTACGGCTGCCACAGTAACAGTGTGCCCTGGCCTTCCAAACTTGAAGCACTGTAAAAAGACAAAGCCTCTCCACCTCTAGCCTGAACCAGCATGTCTTGAAATCAGCAGGAAATTTGTCATCAGCTTACAAAAACAGGGCAGTTTTAAAAGGTGGATGTGGATTGTCCAACAGCTACAGGGCCAAAGAAGTCTCACTGAGTTCTGCTTGCTGTAGTGTCATGGTCAGCACTTGTGGCTGTCCACTTGCTTAAAAAAAAGAAATAAAACCAGCAAGCAAATTTGGCAACATATTGCTACTTTCTTCTGTTCTTCTGTGACCTATTTGTTTGCCTATCTCCAGCTTTTTAATGTTGCTTCTTTTGTCAGGCCTTTGGATAAGCCCACGAGTGTTTATCTACTACTGCTCCCCAAGTGGATTCAGCAGCTCTGCTCCTGGCTTTGCATTCTGCAAGGCAGAGATCCCTAAATATTTAGTGCCTAGAGGTATCCAGGAGAAGAGAGGTAAACAGGGATGGGAAAATGAGGCATCATACTATTTTGAAGACAAGGTATATGAAGCTTTTTCAGGCCCTGATTTGGCAAGGCAACTATGCACATACTTCATTTCAGGAGCTACTCCATTAATTTCACTTGCACACCTGAGGTTACACTCATCATTCTTTTCCTGAATCAGTGGCACTCATCTGATAGAGATCCTCTACAGGAGAGTGCTGTGCCTTTTGTAAGGGACATTCTCCTATGTACTTGTGCACTGATGTTTGGGTCCATACTTGTTTGCATCTTAATGGTGTACTGGGCTGCAGTGCAGTATGAAAGTATGCAGCTTTCTGGAATGAAGAGTCCTGAGAGTAGTGTCAGCGTTAAAACAGTAATGTCAATTTTTTTTCCTTCAAAAATATTGACAGATAAAAAAGAAGATTGTGGTGTCTAGTTGATTTGACTCTTTGGCAAGCTAGATGATAAATCACTTAAATTAGTGAAAGCCAATTACTCCCAGATACTCCTCTGTTCTGCAACTCCAGCAGCACTGCAGTGATACCAGTGCAAGCAGGGAATTCTGCAGACCTTTGCTAATAGAAGTAAATAACAGCCATAGACAATCCAAGTAAAAATAAGATTAAAAAAATAACACTGTTTCTACCTAGCCTAGATGTAAATACCAAGAACAGACTGGGTTATAGCTGTAACTTGTTTGTGATTCACCACTGTAGGACGTTGAAGACTATTTATCTACGCCCACACTAATAACTGCAGATCTCAGTTGGCCAGGACTCCAGTTGTCAAGGCCATTGTCCACAGGATTTCTATGATCATCTTTTTCCTATGGGACATTTTTCTGTGAATAATTTTGATATTTTGCATGTTTGTCCAGGATTTCCAAAACCTGGCAATCCTGGACATATCTCTTGTCTGTGCAAATGCATGAGCATGTATGATGAGTGCATCTCATCCAAGAAGCATCATATGATCTGCATGGAGATCCAGCACAATGAGAGCATGTTTGGTGTACTCTATATGCACCAAATAACCATGGAGTACCTGAGCATCTTGAGGAGCCATCAAACTTTCTGCACATTTGATCAACGCATTTAGCAAGTCCAGGGGATTCTTGTGTGTATAGATTTTTACAGCACGTGCGTGCATTGAAAGGAAGCACAGGCTTTCTGCATGTCTCCCACATTACATATCTGGACATATTTCAGCTGTGGATGGAGCCCTGCCATTGTACAAAGCTTCATACAACCCCTCAGCAAATGCTAAATAACCTGTGGTTTGAAAGGCGAGGTCTAAAAGAGAGATGAAATGGGAAAGGCAAAGAAGAGTACTGTTATAAAGTTCAACTGCTGAATTATTGGTTTTAAATTGTTCTACTTCATTGTGGCCTCCTACGTTATAAGGCCACAGTGGGGTTCTTCTGATAGCTTTGGTGGAAGTCACTTTGAATTATCCCATAACATTTATTTGTGTCCTTCACTCTTTTGTCCTGTAGTCATCAATAGAAAAAGAAATCTATGCATGGAGATTACTCATGGGAGTAAAATCACTGGCTTCCCCAGCCAGTTTTGTGTTTCTGCAGACACAGAGTATAGAGAAAAGAGGAGGCCAGGAGGCCACTACTTGTTGTGCAATGCATAAAATCTATTAAGGGGCTAATTTGCGAAAAGGTGTTGCTTTCGGAAGTTGCAAGGCATCAGTGTCCTGCCTTCAATGTCCTCCTTCACCCTGGTCATCCAGTGGGTGGCTTTCTGAAGGCTGACTAGTCCTGACTTGCCTTTGACTGGCCACCTGCCTGTGTCCTGGTAGCCAGCTGGGTGACTGGCATGAGTGGAGCTGTGGAGTAAGACAGAACTTCATTGTGTGGTTGAATTTCCTTCATTGCACAGTTACTGTGTCTGTTCCTATGTGGGCTTTTGAATTAAATTTAAATACACCATCAAGGAAATTATGAAGCCATTCATTCTTTTTCTGCACTTATTATCTTTTTTACTTCAGCAGCTACCTTTGTACTTCACATAATACCATCTTCCAAGGTAACTTTAGCTATACTGTCATAGTATTAAATCCAAATTCTAGGTGTAACTGATTCAGGTGTGCAAAATTGAACAGGTATTTTTATTGTGAAAAGCAACTATTGCTAAATAACTATCTAACAAGGAAACCATAATTACAAATAATCTTTTCCATCTTCCACAGTAATTTAATGAACAGAATTCTTCTGTACTACTTTGCAGACATGAGCTGTTATTGTAATATTGCATTAACATTGCCCCACTCAGCAAAAGAGCTTTCAGACTTTTGGACTAGAAAGTCTCAATTATATATTGACCATTTTGATAGAACAAGGGGCAATGGTTTTAAACTAAAAGAGGATTGATTTAGACTAGGTACAAGGAAAGAAATTTTTACAATGAGGATGGTGAGACACTGGAACAGTTTGCCCAGAGAAGTGGTGGATACTCAATCCCTGGAAACATTCAAGATCAGGTTGAACGGGACTCTGAGCAACCTGGTCTCATTGAAATGTCCCAGCTTATTGCAGGGGGTTGGACTAGATGACCCAAACTATTCTATTATTATTTTTGTCCTTCTAACTAGAACTTGTTCATACAAGAATTCGACGATATTTTAACTATATTCATTTTGTTGGTATAGTACCTGCCAACCAAAAGTGGATAGGGCTGGCAAGAAGCCCTCTTTTTAACAAGTATTCATTAATTCCTGTGTAAAGAAAGGTTGATATATTCTATTTACATGTTAGGGTCATCAGCAGATTCTTTCACCCACTTCAAAGTGCTCAAGTCTGGATTGAAAAGGTCAAGCACCTGCTACTTGAGCAGGTAAACTGTGCCTTCGTGTGTTTTTGTTGGCTTTTGACATTTTTAATTGCTATGGCATCTACCCAAATTGGGATTTCTTTATAAACTGCAGTTGATACCCTATGATAAAACTGTGGGGTCTTTATCTTTGAACACTAACCTGCAGGTGAGATTTGGTGTTCTGGGGTTTTCACCATGGAAAATATTTTTTTAAGTGAAGTTCTCAAAACCTCGTGTTCTCACTTAGGCCATGGGGGTATCTTATAAGACTCAGAAACTGCATTGTGAAAAGTTTGCTGTGTTTCTTTCTTCAGCTAATGTGATCTAAAATAGAATTACTGCCAAAGCCATTGTATTTCCATTCTATGGTTTATATATATGTATCGTATATTTATATTTCCATTCACTCCTGAATTCTGAAAAGCAATTCTAGGTGAGATAAGAGTAAGAGCTATGCAGTATATATTACTTCACTTTCTAGCAAATGCATAATTTCATCTAAAATTTTAAGATTTTTTTAAGATTATTTCCCAAAATATTTTAAGTATTTTTATTCCCAAATGTTTATGTGATCTTTCCCAGTGGTTGCATCATGAAGTTGTATTAGTGTGTGTTTTCACTACACCAGTAGCAGCAGAGAATACACAAGAAAGAAAAAAATCCTTTGTTATTCATTGCTGTTTGGAGGATAGAGACAAAGACATATCTCTCATCTCACAGAACTGGCCTTAACAACCTGGTGCAGAGCTCTCTGAAGGGACCAGAAGCCTTGCATCAGCTTTGTGAGCCCATGGGAGTAGCTGGAGGAATGCACTGCCTGACTGAGCAAGTTCACAGATGGCAGATAGTTCAGGGCCTGGAAAGCACACGTTTGTCAAAGTCTTTCATGCCAGACTCACTCTGCTACATGACACTTCCTCTCCTCAGGATTCTCTCTATCACATGCACCAATGCCACGGAGGTCAGAAACAAGCTGTGTAACCAGGTGTATGTCCTTGTCATCCACCATGGATGCCAGTTAGCACGGCAAGTGTCAGTTTGATGTGCTGTCACCTGACTAAGTCAAAAGCAATAATCCCACAGCTGTTGTCCTTTTTATTCCCAACGGACTTTGCTCTTCTGCTGATGAAACCATTAGCAGCCTTGCCAGCAGTCTCAGCAAGTAAGGCCAACACCTTAAAATTAGAGGAAACAAAACACTTTGACATGGCCTGGGTTGCTGCCCTGAGAACTCTACAAAAAAATCCGAATTGGTGAACTACTGCTACATCATGAAGAAGAGGTCTCTTATGTGATTAGAGCTTGTCATGATGAACTTTCCAAGAGCTATTCCTTTCCCTCTGAGATGCAGAATGCCAAGAGAAATAAAGGCACATCCTTAATCCATGGTCATCTTGGTCAAAGAAGAAAGAGGCCAAACGACTATCTTCACCAAAAAAAGCCAACTACTAAGCAGTGGAATAAAGTTGATTAGGTTCAAAAAGAAATTCTATTATCCAAAGTGTTGCAGGATGTTGCAGTACCGGAGATTTTAAAAAGCATTATGGTTATATTAAGCATGTCCTTTAAGGATAAAAATATATCAGGCAGATGTGATTGTTCCTATCTAGCCATTACATTTACAAAGATTTTGTCAATATTTGCAGTGTCTTGGAAGTAACAGCCAAGACCGTTTATCTGGAATTGTGGAAATACGTCACTTTGCTCTTCAGTGGAGTCAGTGCCCAGGGACACATGTCATCATCTCTCTTAATGAGTACTTTTCTCTAAAGAAAAAAAATAAATTCTGTAATTAATCCACAATATTTTTGTGTTTGTCTTGGGGGGGAACAAAAAACAGTGAGCAAAGAAAACCATCTCCATCTGGGAGAGAGTAATGATGTTTTTCACAGTAAAGGATGTACCTCTGATTTTCCTGGAAACCACTGTCAGATTCCAGGAAGAGCAGAGGATCTCTCTGCTAGTTATTCAGAGAGTGCAAATTAATTTGCAAAGCCCTGTCAGTTGCAAAAAGGCACAGAAACACCCAACTTTTGTACAGGTAGCAAGGGCACCTGCTGCTTTTCAGAGAGTGGGAGGTTTGTTTTCCTCTCACCGTGCGGTGTAGTGTGTTCACTGTCACCACCCGCAGAGCCGATAGCGTTTCACTCACCCCATTATGCACATGTATTGTTTCCTCCACCTGTTGCACCCCATCAATAAACTCTGTGCAGTCCTACAATTTCTGGCACTACCAGTGATACTGTCATTTTCACTTAAATCTTAAAATAATGATGTGTTTATCAGTTTGTGAAGCCTTTGTGACATCCCTCACCCCGAGCTGCACTCTGTACATGAATGCAGTACTCATAGCTATCAGGGATAAGCAGATGTTAGGTCACTGCTCATCTTTCTCATTAAGGCAATTAGTGACCTGTAGAAGATGATCAATCAGGGATTTTATCCATCTTGATGCCGGTGTCTGGTTGCCTGCACTGAAGGATGCTGTTTTTAGTCCAGTTCTTAATTTCTCCCATTCCTGCTCATCATTATTATTATCCAAAATGCCTTTTTGCTTCTGTTAGCAAAACCAGAATCCCCCATGCCCCAGTTTTAGCAGCTAATGTCCACAATAGGGGCAACTGATCCAGCACAGGAGTTAAATATAACTGTGTCTAGTGTAAGGAGAAGATTTAATGGGAAATGGTTGGCATTCCTTCTTCCTAAAGGCACGGGGAGGGAGGGGGGAGAGAAAGAGAGAGACGTACACACACTGACAGACACACGCATCCCATAGCGAGGGAAGAGGCAGGGAGCAGGCAAGGCAGAGAGGCAGTGAGGGTAGCAAGAGAGCCAGCCCCAAAGCAGCCCTGCGCCTCTGAGCTGGAATCTGCCAGAGCACAGCCAGCATGTTGGTTCTCAGCCTGCTTGTCTGGGGATCTTACCTGCCGCTTCTCTTCTGCTTTGCTTTATCTCAGACTGCGTACGCTGACAATGTCTTCTCAATTTCAGCAGGTAAATTGCTTTAAGTCTCGTTACTTTTCCTTGCTTGGAGCACTCTGCACTCTGATTCTTGCACTTTCCAGTGATTGGGAACACAGGAAAAAAAATAAATACTTCAAATTGCAGATCTTGCTGGAGGGGTTTTGCACTGCAGACCTGTTCTGCCACATTTTGTTGCTTGCCTGGTTTTGCTTTTTGCTTTATAATTTCTAGTTTTAAACCCCTCCCTTCCCCATGAGAAATAATAGACAAGATCCTCAGCCGCTCTAAAATGCTTTTTTTCCATTGGCTTCTGTGGTGCTGTGCTAATTCATATATCTGGCCCAATTAGTGTATTACTTGCACGTCTACATGTTTCTTTCTATTTTGGATTGGTTCAGGTAGATTACAGCAAGGGAAAGAAAATAAATCTCAATGTATATCTGCTTCTATAAATAAAGCCCTGACCTCAATGAGTGGTGCTGGAGTCCAGCTGGGTGTTATCAGAATAAACATCATCTGGCTCTGGCTATGACACTAACAAATACTCAGATGACTTACATAGCAAACAAGAGTCCACTGCATGGAAAATCCCTGCTAGGCAAAGACAAAACAAATTAGTTGTCAGCTGAGGCAGGGCACTGGAAATCCCTCTTAATAGATTTTACAGTTTCAGCAGCAAGACTTTCCTTCAGTCATGTTCTGTGTGAAGGAAGGGGAAAGCTGGTGAGAGCTCTGACTCCATCTCTGCTTTGAGGAACTTCCACCAATTTATGGCAAATCACTGTCTCCCACTTTCTGTCTGCTGTTCTGTATCTATCAATAGAGATGCTTCTAACTAATGTCCTGGATTCCTGTGGTGTCAGATTTGAGATGTTTCAACCAAGATTTGTAGGTCAGGGCCAGCTGTACCTACAGATCCTTCTTTCACAGTGACCAAAGGTGTGCATATTTTGTCTGTACGTAAAATCAACCTTGGACATGAATCTAGAGGCACACAGCCTTTCTTGTTCTCTAACCTCTCTGGTGTGCTCAGAGTCAGATGGTTTACATTTGAGGCATTTATGAGGAAAGGGCGATCTGGAGGGAAGCTTCTGTGAGAGGCTGGGTGTCTGCACTAAGTAGCACTAACATATGCATGATCTCCTCTAAGGGTTTTTAACAAATATTTTAAAATGTGCAGAATTACTACACTGTTCACTCCCAATGGTTTGAACAGTCCATTCATTTGAAGGTATTCAAGTATTAAGATTCTGAGGGCCACAAGAGTAATCCCTTGGTAAAAGCCCTGGAGCATTAAATAATGTAGCCATTACAGTTCTGTAATTATTTCAGATATCTTGTAAGATATCATCTAGAAAAGCCTAAAGTTCAAAGAAGTGCATACTTTGATAACAATTTGATCCATTTTTTTTAATCTTTCGGAACTAACCATTTTTTCCACTAAGCTCTGTAGGATGCTAAAAAGCATTTCCATTTGTTATCATTTCTTTTCAATGGGATATGCTTTTTCCATTGTGTTGAGATTTGTAAATGCTGAGGTACAGAAACCATCAATATTTATGTTCTCTGATATACTCCAAGTTGCTTTGCAAAAACGTGTAAGTCATTAGACCTCAAAACTTGTTTTGAAGAACTTTATATTTATCTGACACTTGTAGATGTCACCCAGACAAACAAGAATTGGATGTTTTCATTGCCTTCTCCTGTGGCATACACATTTGAACTGTCCTCTTAAAAAATAAGCATTCAATGAATAACCTGAACCTTAGAAGAGGAAAAATTTATCATTTCTGCTGAAACCATAGTAGAAGAGACAAACGCAAAGGAAAATGCCAGACTCTGCTCTTTGCAATAGAGTATTTCCATAGCACAGCCCTGGAGACTTGTTTGTGAGAGACCCCAGGGCTCCCCAGGCAGAGACTGCAGCCATGAATGCCCCTTTCCTCCTCCATCCCCACAGGCCAACAACAACTTCTGGTTTCAGGCTCAGGGAAGGTGTGAACCTGACCAGGAGATTTGGTTCCCATTGTAGTTGTTTGGGCAAATTACCACCCCAGGCTCTGCTCCATGGCAAAGCTCCATGCCGTGCTCTTCTGGTCAAGACACCAAAAATCACCTTTATACCCAACAAGCTCTTAGTGAGGTTTCTGCCACAAATGTATTTTCAATGTTTATTTGATAATATGTGGAAAAAATAAGAGATGGCAGATGATTCAGTCATAATCCTGCAACCACAGGACTGGATTAAGAGATGTACTTCGGGGAGCTGTTACATACCTGTATGCCATTAGTGTTTGTTAGTCAGGGCTATGTGGTATGAAAAATGACATAATAGTTCATTTAGTGCTTTGGTTACATCTGCATTTTAAAAAACTTCTAAGAGAATAGCAATAAGTTCTGTATTTTCTGGTAGAAATCTCACAGTGGGTACAGAAGGTGAATTAATTCCATTTACATTCTCAGTTATTTCAGTGGTTTCTCAAATGTTCCCTTACTGTCAGCTGAGTCAATTATTTGTATCTGGCACCAGGATGTAATTTCACATTTAAAGAATGGATTTCAGCACTGCACTTGCAAATTCTGAAACTAATCACATTTAACAGTGAGGATGTTTTTAAGCAATGACTTGTCTTTCCTATAGTCGGGAAAACGCATTTGGGAATTTTCCAGGTATGTCTGAAAACTTCTGGGCTAAAAATACTTTTATTTCTTTTCTCACACATCTTTGCATAGCAACAGGTCACAAATAAAGAGTTTTATGGGTCACAAAGCAGTAATTAGAAAGCAGAGGTAAATAACCAGTAGAATTGGAAAGTGTTTATAGAATAATAGGGTAAAGAAGAATAATCTGGACCTTTGTTTTGCTGCCATCTCCACCTTATAGTCCCATCAGCCTCAAGCAACAGTGCATCCTTGTTTCTGGAAGTATTTTGAATGTCGTGTCAGCTCCAAAGAGTTGAGTCTGCTGCTGCTGAAGCATCGTTTTTGGAGAAAATGCTTCAAGGAATAATATTGCAACATGCTTAAGCATGTGGCTGTGGTTCCGTGTGGCAGCAAAAACTTTTCAGGGTTTTTCCGGGTTTCTTTTCAGGGTAACCTAAAAATACCTATCGTATTCCACTCTTAAACTACTGTGTTTGTATTGTCATTTACAACTTTTTTTCATAGCTCTGCTCTACTGAGGTTCCTGCACTGTTGCACTCACATGATGAAATCTAGGCATGAGTTCTATCGTCATTTTTAGTAGGGCTACATGAATAAGTCTGCACCTCGTAAGAACCAGCCTGAAGGAAGTCACCTTTCAAATTCAGGTAGTAGAAAGACTCTCTTCTCTCTGCCTCATTCCTGCTCTGCTATTCTGCTCATCCAGACCCAAAGTTTCTGAGGTTTTGCAGAGAGATGGGACAGTATTTAAATTACCAGCAGCAGCCAAAGTAAAAGAACTGCATCTCAGTGCTTCTGACCCAAACTGCCTTTTCTGCATGCCACATATGCATCCCTTGATTCAATCTTCTCCCACAATCAATTTTGATACATAGTCCCATGGACAGAATATGGCTGAAAAATTTAAGAGAACTCAATGGGATGGTAATACGAGAGCAATATTCCTCACACTTTCTTTGCCTTTTTTCCTATTATTTTCCTGAAGAAAAGGAACATCATGTGTCACTAGGCATGAGACTTAGCTTCTTTGAGTCAGGAAGGTGTCATATTCATAACCAGACCTCGTGTGGCAGAGCTGCAGAAAACAGTTCAGTTTTCTTGTGGACCAAAACTGTTGGAGCCATGGTGATGGGCAAGGTGGGTTGGGAAGAGGAGTTGTGAGGGATGACAGCCTTGGCTGGCCATATGGGGAAGGGACCCTGGTAGCCACTGTGGTGCTGTGGTGTTGAGAGAGAGTATTGTACATTTGTGAGAGAAATAGTGGTGAGAGAGAACACAAAAGCAAATGTTCCTGATATGGAGGGAGTTGGGATCCCAGCTATCATTCTCTAAAAGGGATATCTGACCCCATCATCAGGGTTTGGGGTTTTTTTCCTCTAATGGAACAACCTGCAGAAACCCTAAATAATGTCAAAATGGACAGCAGATATGTCAGGTGGGTGGGTTTTTTTGTTTCTAAGGAGAGTAATCATAAATATTTATTTATGTAAAATCACAACAGAAAAAAATTATCAAAGCTGGAGAAAGAAAGATGCAGAAGGAATTTAAAATAAGACCAAAAGTAAATGTTGAAGACTTTCCAAAGGCAAGCAGCCCAAAGGGTGACTAGCAATCAGAGGTGAATCTGTGAGGGGCAAAAATATCAGCGCAGGGAAGGAAACCTGGCTCTGCTCTGAAAGTCAACATGGGCCCAGGAGGTGCCCAGCATCCTGCTACCATTGGTCAGTGGGTTTCTCACTGAACATAAGTAAGCAGGAAAGCTGTGGTTAGATTAAAATTCCTGATGGAAATCAGCCACTGGCAGAGGCTACAACTTCATTAGGAGAAGGAATGCAAAGTATCACTGACCATAAGAGAGGGCAGCCATCTGGCTGTGAATCTGGCTAGCCAAAGGTCTTGGGGCAGGGCATTTAACAGATTTATGGCTCATTTGTGACTCACAGAAACCTGAAAGGGAGGCAAAACATTCTTTCAGTGGAATCTCTGTTCATCTTGAGAGAAAAAAATTACCTTGGGATTGGCAATTTGAGCTTGATAGCCCAAATGGGTGGCTGGAAAGATAAGCCATAAGAAGGGTTGTTTAATGGGTACCCATCTAAGCTGATAAAGAAGGCAGTTGCTGAGCAGCCTCTGCAGAAAGGCTTGGACTGGTAGCAAAATAACAGTCTAGTATGTTGCTCTAAGTAAATGGATCTTTAAAATAAATACAGTTAAAAGAAACACTGATTTGACTTTGTCTGTATATTCTCCCCTGGTAGATATGACCTGTGAAAATCCCAGATTGAGTTTTCTGCTCAGAACAATTCGTATGATACTTAGGGAAGAAATTACCTTAGGATTCACAGACTCTTCTCTGGTCTCATACA